CCATGGCTGTCTCCACTCCAAATCCTGTCCTGAAGCCGGTTTGAAATGGCCACTCCAAATCTTGTCCTGAAGCCGGTTTGAAATAAAATAAAAACACATTAAAAAGCCCTTCTGCCACATGAGTTATAAACCAAAGACCTGTCTTAAAAAAAGGCATGCTGGAAAAAGAGGAAGCCAAGTGAACCTCTCATGGGAAGAAGTTCCATAGCCTGGGAGCAGCCACTAACAAGTCTCTCTTCTATATTTTCACCAAATGTACCTTTGATGCTAATGACTATGATAAAAGTTATAAACTAATGAAATGTGGTATAAATGTGTTTTAACTGATGCAGTGTGCCTGTTAATTGCTGTTGTTCCCTGCCTCAATCCATGGGGACAGGTAAGTAAGTATTATTATTATTATTATTATTATTATTATTATTATTATTATTATTTATTATTATTATTATTGTAGCTGATCCATCTCCCTGGTCAGAATGTTAACTGTGCTTCAAACATGTGACACAATGTCTATGGAGGCAAAGTATATGCACAAAGAGACCCAATTCTTTATTAAGCAGAATGAGGCAGTCACCTCAAGTTCTGGAAGCTGGGTTGAGCAACTGGCAGGACCCAATGGTCCTTAGGTTGGTAGGAGCAGTCACCTCCTGGTTTTTCCCTTCTGTTGGAGGACAGTGTTGTGTGACAGGAAAACTTCCCAACCAGCTGTATATTAGCCTGCTGCCTTCAGGTGAGGTGGAGGATGCTGACCATCACTAGCATTCATGTAAGATTAAAAAGAGATCTAATCTAATTCAACTAAATGTTGATGATGTAATGCACGTTATTCTTCCTTGCGGCATATGATATGGACATGGTCACTTGCTGCCACATGTCCTCAAGTCAACCTTATGACAACCCAATCATAGAATATTCTTGACAAGATTTATTCAGAGATTTGCTGTTGTCTTCCTTTGAGACGGAGACAGTGTGACTTGTTCAAAGTAAACCAGTCGGTTTCCATGGTTGAGCGGGGGCACAGACACAAGTGTCCCAGAGTTCTAGTCCAACACTCTAACTACTGTATCCCACTGCCTCACTGTGGCACGCACTACTGCCACCTTTCTTCTTTAGCACTTTAATTCTAGCTGGCAGTCCTGTGGGAACTTGTTATCCCCATCTTTGCCACCTAATGAAGGGTAAGGGACCCACACAGTGTTTTGCACAATGTCCCCCTCCAAATCCTCAAAATATTAGTAGCGTGTTTTGTGACTAAAACGTAGGCCAAGTGATGTTGGAACAAGAAGTAAAGTTTAATTTTAATCAGTATGTAATAAATGTAACTTGCTTCAGAACTTGCTACTATAGTCTTTCTTGGTTACAAAATTATAACGTTTGTTTCTAATTCACTCACAGTACCTCAGCCATACTGGCTAACAATATCTATCTGGAGAGAACACCACAACAACTCTCTTCTTTAGAGCTCTGTGAGTGTTCAAAATCTCTCCTTTCTAGACTCTACCTCCCCAAAATACAGTTCCCTCAGGAACACCCTAAAACACAGCTCTATCTTAACTTTCTCATCACTAACTCTAACTGTCCACCAACTGTCAGCCTGGATTTTTTGAATGCTCCCAGCTGAAATCCCATTGGCTGGCTCTCAGCTGCCTCCTGATTGGCCAGCTGGACATTCTATTCACCACACTCACTCCTTCTTGAAGTGTATTATAGAATAGTGTAGTGTGCCCTCAGGTCATTTCCAAATTATGGTGACCTTAAGGAGAACCTATCACAGGGTTTTCTTGGCAATATTTGTTTAGAGGAATTTTCTTTCGTCTTCCCCTAAGGTTGAGTGTGACTTTCCCAGTGAATTTCCATGGCTGAGCAGGGATTCAAACCCTGATCTCCAGAGTCATAGTCTAGCACTGAAACCACTACACCACATTGGTTCTCATTTCTTTTCAATTATATAACTACTATATGCACTCTGAATGTCATCATTGCAGGGGTCCTTTGGAGGTCCCAGCAGCTGATGTCTTTGCAGTCCATCCAGCTACAGGAAAATAGCTGAACACATTTCTGCTAAATTGTTACTTGCTTTGAACACATGTATATGCATGTATTCTTATACAAAGAAAATCAGACTGTTCAGGGACTTGCTGAAAAAGTGCAAATTGAGTCCACTTTAAACTGCCATGGCTCATTGCTAGGGAATCATGGGAATTGTATTTTTTTCTGAGACATTGAGCCTTCTCTATCAGAGAGCTCTGGTGCCACAATAAACTGTAGTTCCCATGATTCCCTAGCACTGAGCCAGGGTAGTTCAAATGGACTCAATTTGCACTATTTCTGTCCGTCTGCAAAGGCCCTATATCACACTCATCAAAAGCTGGGTGTGTCTGGTGAATTGGTAGGTGTGGCTTGTTATATCTCTCCCATCTTTAACAAAGTACACATATTATATACCAATAAAGCTAATAAGGTAATAAAAGGCAAAGATCCAATTACAAATAGTCTACATAATTGGAAATTGAAAATGGAGAAACTCCACTCTCTTTGCAAAAACAAGACCAGAAGCAAATTGTGACAGACCATAAGCTGTCAATATAAAAAAAATCAGAGTAAAGCTAAAGAAGAATACTAAATTACTCACTGTGCCAAAATGCAACCTGGAGATTATCTGTGTGGAATTTAAGGACCATGTAAAAACAGTTAAGGATGCAAAACAAAAAGCTGACAGATTATAGGGTCAGAGTCCTGAATGCAACTGTTCACCAACTTGAGTGCAGGGACAAAAAAAAAACTAGTATTGTATTAAATGCAATAAAATAGAAAATGACAGCCAAAAGAAAAAAAGAAAAAAGAATAAGAGATGTCATCTACAAGATCCAAGAAACCAAAGGGAAATTTAAACAAAGAGTGGGGATGCTACATGACCAGCAGGGGGAGGAAATTACATGATTAAGGGGAAAAAATTAAAAGATAAGACAAAAACAAAACTGAAGAACTACATACAAGAAATGAAATGAGAGATTCATCAAAGGAAGAGCCGTATGAAGGTGAACCCACAATTTTAAAAAGTGAAGAGAAAGCTGCACTCAAGCATGAGGGAAAAATAAATCACCTGGAATAGGTGGCATACAATAGAGCTGGTTCAAGCTACAAAGATAGAATCCATTCAAATTCTAAAACCTACCAACAAAAACTGGAAAACAAAACAATGCCCTACAGACTGGAAACATTCACTATACATTCCAGTCCCCAGGAAGCAGCACACCAGAGATTACAATGACTATTGGACTATTGGCTTAATCTTCCATACAAGCAAAGTGATGCTCAAAATTATACAACAAAGACTTTCACCATATATGGAACAAGAAATGTCAGATATCTAAGATGAGGTCAGAAAAGGAAGTAGCACTAGGAATTATATTTGAAACATATGCTGAACAAGTTTTTCCCCTTTTTTCCAAAAATACATTAATGTAATTTAAATGTTGTAATCTATTACTTTTTACATTTTTGTTTTAATGTTTATTTATGTATTTATGTATTTATTTATTTATTTATGCTAGAATGATTGTATATACAAAGAGAATTTTCACTATAGTTTTTTGTGGGTTTTTCAGGCTGTGTTGCCATGTTCTAGAAGAGTTTCTTTCTGACATTTCGCCAGCATCTGTGGCTGGCATCTTCTCTTCTCTTTTCTCTGAAGATGCCAGCCACAGATGCTGGTGAAACAGCAGAAAGAAACTCTTCTAGAACATCGCCACACAGCCCAAAAAAAAAAAAACCCACAAAAAACTATGGATGCTGGCTATGAAAGCCTACGACTTCACAGAATTTTCACTGTCTGCATATATTTATTTTCTGACGATTATTATTATTCATTTAATTTTATGATTATTACTGAAAATAATTTTGTTGGGAGAGGTGTTAAAAATGATCTGCACCAGATGTCAACTATCTAGATATGCCACTGGTACAAAAGATCAATCAAATCCCTGTAGACTTATTTTTATAATATCCACATTCCTTCTAGGCAAGGTTTACTTTTACCAGAAATTCTGAATTCACTGCATCTGGAACTGGGTTTCAGTTTTAGGCCAGATTTCTGTGGATCAACCCCACCAGGACAACTATGTTGGCACAGATGGTGACAGATATACCCATGACAACAAAATGAAACATCCATAGAGGCAGCAATAATGAAGGAGGTAACACATAAGAGAAATAGGTTGCTTGAGTAGTAGACTATTTGCTTTCAACAAATTCTAAAATGTAACATATTTCCTTGGAGTTTCAAAAACTTTCACACTACCCCTTCTGCCCCTGTTTGACAATATGCTAGTTAAAAAATGGAAATCATAATATTTGAGATTACAAATGGCTGAGCTTTATTAGATGGCAGCACCATTTGAACAGATGAATCTACTAAAGCCATTAAGTATTTGCAAAATGTATGTGCAATTAGTACAGCTAAAGAACAAGCAGAGAAACAGTGTTAAGTTGGGTAATAAGACAAAACTGATCTCAGATTGTATCAGGCCATGAGGAGAGATTTAATATTTTAAAATGTTTTCTGTACCTTTTCTTTCCATCTCTGTATTTTCTGTCCCCATCCTTTGCTCTTGTAGAAGAAGAGAAAGAATTGTTGTTGCTGAGAAGGGACTGGTTGAGGCCATAAGCATGATGAAGGTGGCATATGAATGATTCAGAATACTGTATTCTGGTCCCCAAGCTGTCCTGACATCCCTCTATCTCTGGGCATCCTGCTGTGTTGCATGCCACTGCCACCATCACAAGTGGCTCTCTCTGGGGCAAAAAATGAGGCACCCAGCATTGATCATATGACTGGGCACATTATTCGGACCTCAGAGAGAGCAATCAGTGGTGGTGGAAGCACAGTGAAACGTGTTATAAACAGTTGTCCACTTATCTCCGGAGGGTTCCAGAAGGACCAGGCCAAATGGTAAGTGGTTTTTTTAAAAAAAAAATCAATGTAAGGGCATATACAGTATGTTCAGTGCTGAACTGGTTGGATGTTGTCTGGACATTTCCCACCAGAACAGGAATTGGGCCCTGTATCATTCAGACTACGTACTTTCTGGAAGGATGTGGGGAGGCCATGTTATTGGGCCTGTGCAAAGACAGCCTTAGACTGTAGTCAATGAGGGATGGAGAGAAAGAGATCAGGTGCACACTTATAATAGTGTAAGGGATTATACTACTGTCAATCCTGAGTAGAGGGAGCCCTCAAACCTGATTTCCTATGATTTTCAGGGAATGACCTATCTTAGCCTTTTTTGCTTTTACACTATAAACCCTAATAATTGTCCCAAGGATCTCAGAAAGCATGGGCATTAAATTTTTAGTCTTGCTTCCCTTCTTCCTCTTTCCCTTCCCTTACTTCTTACTAAACCCGAACTGCTTATTTACAGTTCCTCCTTTTGCATGTCACTAAATAATATTTTATAAACATCACCATCATAATATTTACTACACAAAGAAACATTTCCCCCCCAAGACAAAGCATGTTTCCCAAGTGATGATTTGAAATTCACACCAAGATAATGAGAACTATGGGCATGCCCTCATTTGCCTGGCAATGGTGATGTATTTCTTTAGAATGGCAAAAGAGGCTGCAACAACTACATTGTGATAAAATAAGGCAAAATGCCTTTCCTTGCCCTGTCAGGAAAATGGTGTAATCTTGCACATCTATGTTTAGCATACAGATATGGTAGGGTGTTGTTGTTTTAACCAAACCACGAGAATGTTACTTTTTTAAGCTATAAGCTCCAAAATTCCTCCAGACAGTATGGCCAGGATTCCAGAAATTGTTGTCAAAAGTAAGTTTCCTGAGGTGCCTTTGACCCTATCTAAATTCACAAGTTGAATTTAATATTTATCCAAATCACTTGCTAAATCAGAACAAAACAATCCCAATACCTAGTTTCAAGTACATAGGAATAAGAAATTTACTGCACATTACTTACTGTTCTGTTTTCCCCTGACTTCAACCTCATTCTTGCTTCCACCTAAAATATTAAACGTGCAAGTTACATGCTTATCTAGATTTCTGACTTGCTAGCAGCAGTTGTCATCTGACTCTGGAAGGACCATTTAAGTTCATTATACAGCATTTCATAAACATGATGTTATTTGAAAGTAAGAGTGAAAATGAACCCCAGTATTGTCTCATTTAATTTATTTATTATTTATTGTATTTACATGGTGCCTTACTCCCAGGCCAGGACCCAAGGAAGCTTCCACAACACATTAAAATATTACAAAAGTCTGGGCCTTAGAAACCCATAAATGAAGGCCTCATGCACCAGAGCTCTCTGACAGAGAAAGCTCAATGTCTCAGAAAAAAATACAGTTCCCATGATTCCCTAGCATTGAGCCAGGGCGGTTAAAGTGGACTCAATTTGCACTATTTCTAGCAGTCTGCAAAGACATTACAACAGTAGAACCAATGACACCTAGGCCATGCAACTGACCCACTTGCAAGAGTAACTGTCTTCATTTAGGCATTGCCTTTTAGAGAGGCAGGGCAAGCCAAAAGAATAAACCACAAAGACAGCAAAACTGAGGAAAGAAGAAACGCTATCAGCAGGGCTAGGCTTGCCATTAGTGTGTCATGAAAAGATGTATGAATTGAAAAGCAAAGCAAAGCAGCTTTATTTATATACCATTTCATATCACGCTATGGGATGTCTAAGTGGTTTACAACTGTAAGCTCATTGCCCCCCAACAGTTGGGAACTCATTTTAGTGACCTCAGAAGGATGCAGGCCTGTCCTGAACTCGCAACCTTGTGGTTTATGAGTGAGTGACTGCAGTACAGGCATTTAACTACTACACCACCAGGATTCCTAACCAGGTAATCACAGCACATAGAATCACAGAGTTGGAAGTGATCAAAAGGGCCATCCACTCCAACC